ATCGGTGCCGCAAGGAAGCTCGGCGGTACCGCGGAACTGGAGAGGGGCCGCGCAGTGTAGGTGTTGGGGAAGGAGTTTTTTTTATAATTAATTATTATTTTTATTCCTTGTTGGAAGGGGAAAATCGGTACCGCGGAGAGCTAAAACGGTGCCGCGGAATTAAAAAAGGTACCGCGAGGAAGCCCAACGGTATCGCTATACTAGCAAACGACAGTGTTTAATAATAAACAGTGTCGCGGAAGGAAAAACAAACGGAGCCGTTTTGGCGCTAATGATGTTGTTGGTCAATACACGAGTTGGACTAGTGATGGCCAGATTAATTACTTAATATTTTTAATGGCTTTTTAGCATGGTGTCAATTAGTTGAAAACGATGCCGGAAGAGGAAGAAACGACACCGCGGATTTAAAAACGATGCCGCGAGTGGGCCAAACGATGCCGCAGTAGCTAAAACGATAGTGGTAAATGCAAAGCGGCATCGCAAAGTTCAACAACATCGCAGAAATAGAAAACGATGCTGTTTAATTAAGAACGGCCCCGCGAAGTGAGAGTTTGACGGCGTGTCAACAATGATGGCCGGTTTAATTAATTAATATTTTAAGGATTAGTTAAGGCGGTGTCTCTTTAGCCGAAAACGATATCGTGGGAGATATCGACACCGTCGCGGTACTGAAACGATGTTGTTTAATAGAAAACAAAGTCGCAGTGGCGAGAGTTCAGCAATGGCGGATTTCGGCTCAATGTCGTTTTGGCCAAGTTGCCACATGTTCAAGCGGTTTCGCACTCGTGGGAGTTACGCAACAAGGAGGAAGTTACCTGCACGGTTGACAGGAATGATTACGTGGGAGACAAAGGCGCGAAGGCAGTTACTACGACTGCGGGGAGAAGAGCGAAGTATAAACAACAGGAAGAGAGAGAAGCTCGGGACGCCAAAATCAAATCACAACTGCACCATTGCAGAATTATCTTTTTTCTCTCTAGTTTCGTAGAACCGCTCTGTCAAAGAACTCCTTTGCAGAGTCGTAGATCGTAGCTTGTAGTCGTAGTCGCGGAGCTCTCCAGAGGAACCTCCATAGGAGTAGAGGTAACGTAACTTAGAACACTCCTGGTTCGATTCTCTGTTTATTCGTCGAACACCCTCGTTCGAACGTAGTTTGGAGAGGTGTTGAACCGAATAACAGTTGTTTGATTAGAAGTCAAAGGTGTATCGATCAAATCAACGACGCCGATACCGGCGGCGGCCATTTGACGATCGTCTTGGTTTCTGCTTTAATCGATCAAATCAACGACGCCGACTTCGGCGGCGGATATTTGACGATTTTGCTGATTTCGTGTTTGTGTTTTAATTGAAAACAGTGCGCATCGAACACGTGAAGTTTCGCCAACGAAACAGAATCTGATCAATTTGTACTATTTATAGTTTATAATTTAAATTAGTTTGCCTTAGAAAGGAGAGAAGAATAATTTTTTTTTTTTACAAATAGTATCAACTTTTATTCCACCAAACGATCAAAACACACGTAAGCCATTACAATTTTAGAGGAGAATAGAAATTAGATCAAGAATATTAATCCAGTCTTCTGGTAGAATTGATTTTGCTTTTGATCGTGCTACCCAATCAGCTCTGACGTTCGTAGCCCTCGGAATCTCTTTCACCGAAATAGTTGGGTTAGTTCCAAGGATATTGACCATCGTTCCAATCCATGCTGCACATCTCCAGGGCCATCGAGACTGATTTTGGTTCAGGGCCTTTACCAGCAACTGACAGTCAGATTGAACTGATGAGAGAGAGCAAGTCATGTTTGCTTTTCAAATCCTATTGGGTTGTATTGTAAGTAGTGGTGATATGTACTGATGCACCATTAATCTAGTTTGTGTAATTTATGATATGATTTGTATACTTTATATAAGGGCTTGTACACTATTACCATCTGGTTTTTATACTTTTGGATTAGGTTGGGTATAAAATGTCACTATCATTGTCCATTTTCTAATATGATATATTTTAGAATGATGTGTATAGTTTTATGATACAGTTTGTATCCTTTGATCATGTGATTTGTATACGATAAACCATTGGATTGTATACATTGTAGGGTATGCCTACTATGACATGCATGTCACCATGACATGGACTTTTCGGTTGACCTAATCCTGAAGGCGATCGACCGAATTGACTAATTTGGGCAGCACGAGAAATCATTGCAGTCGACCTCAACGACCATCTGGTCGACCGCACCTAGTTTAAGTTGTTATTTTTGGTCGACCAGAATAAAACCTCGGTCGGCCATTTCGTTGGCGTCAGAAACAACATGGTCGACCGAAAAGGTACATAGGTCGACCACTTGATGGCACTCATTAACAAAATGGTCGACCAGATAAGGAAAGCGGTCGACTAGATAGAAGATAAGTGTTCTATCAATATGTCCAATAATTTGACGTAAAATGAAGATCAGGTGTTGGTTTCGAGGTCCAATTGTGAAACCTTTCTGGTGTTGGAATCCGTATCCAATACGGATACGGTGTGAAGGCGGTGGACCTATTTATAATGCGGTCGACCTGTTAGGTGCACAAGGGTTGGCCTATGAGGTATTTGGGTCGACCTTTCATTCTGTTAGACCACCAAAGCGGTCGACCGCGTCTCGGAACCTCACATACATGAATTAGTCAATTCGGTCGACCGCATTTTGGATTAGGTCGACCGAAAAGTCCATGTAACGGTGACATGCATGTCACGGTGACATGCATGTCACCGTAGCAAATGACATGCATGTCACCGTAGCAAAATCCTACATTGTAATGTTAATTTCTATAATTATATTATATGATTTTATGTTCTGTATTAATGATTCGTCGGAAATTCTTTAGTGCCGCCACTGTATTGATACTGTCCCTTTTTTACCGGCTACAGCCGGTCGCCCGGTCTTCAGCTTTCTCCGTTACTGGGCTAGTTTTTTTTTTTTTGAAACCCCGTTACTTGGCTCCGAGAACAAAGAAAAAATATTTTTCAGATTTTCCCGTAACTTTACACAAAGTCATGTAATATTTGTTTTCATGTTGTGTACTTTTGTTACAATATTTTTTTTCTCAACCCCTAGAAAAAACAACACATGGCAGAATATTTATACAGAGTATTCAAAAAAATTAAATTTATTCAACTAAAATACTTTAAGTTTATATTATCAATGGTGGTGCTAGAAATTTGAATTGAAGCTAAAAATATAAATCAAGATATTTGAATTGTGATAATTGGAGATTGTCTAATATTTTAATAATTACTCTATTTAAAAAAATACAAATTTTAGATGTACTTTTACCTATATTTATAACTCCTTATCATTAACGTGGCTCCATCGTTGTAAGGGATGAAAATCAACCCGCAACCACGGGTATCTGATCATCCCCAACCTGTTAACGTAGAGAATCCACATTGACTGAGTATGAGACGAGTATGGTTAAAACACACAAAAACTTTGATAGGTATGATGTTGTATGGTTTTAGACTCCCTGCCACATATTCATACTCATACCCAACCCACCAAGTGTACTTTTATACATAAAAAATAGATAAATCAAATGTAACATCTCAATAAAAGAAGTGTAATTCAAAAAAATATTAAAATGTAATTGAATGGTAACCCAAACCAAACAATAATTTATCTCCCTCCAATTCTTCTTTTAGTCCTTTACTCATTTCTCCCTTTTAAAAAATTATAGTTATTTATTCCAAGTGTCCATGAAGTGGTAATGAAAGTTAAGCATAATTTGATTGTACTTCGCATTGGAATTCTGTAATTTAGCTTGCTCTATTATCTTTTCTTGGCTCCTTTATTAGGTTTTGAGTTTGGTAAAGATGTACATTTTCTAGTTGATTCCCATAGTGGCAGGGGTTGTTGTCACAAAATAACTCCCTAGTTGATTTGGATAACATTATACTTTTTCTTATGGTTTATGAATATTTTAGGATTAAATGTGTTAAATTTGTAATTTAATATTATCTTTGTTAATTTCATGGTTTACTAGATCCATTTAGTGTTATAATTAAATATCATAGTAATGTTGGATGTACGAGCAGCGAAGCAGGTATTACCAATATGTATCTGAATAAAATCGGGGGAGTCTCAAAGCATACCACCCCATCCACTTCAAACTTTTTGCGGTTTTACTAGTACTCCACCCCATACCCAGTCAATGAGGCGATTCCATTCATTGATTGGGTCGAGTTGGTCAGTTATTCATGGTTACGGGTTTGATTGTCATCCCTAGCAACGGCAAAGCCACGTTAGTGAAAGTGGGTTATAAATGTAGGTAAACTAGATGTAAATTTTTTGAGAAATAGAGTAATTCATAAGATATTATCTCATCCCCAATTATCACTGTTCAAATGATTTGAATTTTTATCATGATATCGTCAGTATAACACTAGTCCACGAAGAGGATCTCCCTTTTATGTTTTTGTATTTCGTTAATCTTCCAGTACATCATACAACGATATAAATAGGTTGCGTTTACACCTCTAATTTCCGTGTGGCTATTTACAACTAAGTACCTATAATTAACAAAAAAAAAAAAAAATTAAAACTTACTCATATTTATTTTTTAGGTTACCAACCAAAATCTGTATTTCTTTTTGTTTTATTACAGGGTCTAAATTGTAAAAAAAAGTAATGGAACAAAAGTACAACATATTACATGACCTTCGCGTAGAGTATTTAACATTATTTTAAAATACAAAAAATTGCAAACACTTTTTCTTTGTTCCCGTAGAGGTAGGGCCCAGCCCATTAACGGGAAGAGCCGAAGACTCAGTGTAGCCGGTAGAAAATGGACTGTACCAATGCAGTGACGGCACTACAGAATTGGCCATGATTCGTATATTTTTACCATCTTATTTCATAATTTGTATTCCATGAAACGTGGTTTTCTTTAACAACATTCTCAACTTCTCATCTACATCCCCCAACATTCCATTGTATTTGATAACAGAAAACACACTAGCTTCTAGAGGGTGGGCAACACTGGTTTGCCCACTTGCAATCCCAAAACGCCACACAGCTCCGGATACAAACCCTTCCTCATCTCTCCGTAAACCCCGCCGTCCAACTTCCGGTTCCCCAACTCCTCCCCCAGCCGCATCCCAGCCTCCTTCACCTCCTCCTCTCCCTCATGCGCTCCATCCACAATCCCCAGCCTCACCGCCTCCGCTCCCCTAATCTTCATTCCTCCCAAAAGCACGTCCCGCCGGGCCGAAACCGACCCCACCTTCGCCCTAAACAACACACCGAAATACTCCGGCAGCGGAAGCCCCAAGTCCACCTCGCTCATGTACAGAACCCCCTTATCGCTCCTCATCAACACGTAGTCGTGGCACAGCGCGAGGGCGAACCCGGCCGCGGCCGCGTGGCCCTGGACGACGGCGATGGTGGGCATCGGGAGGGAGATCAGCTCGGCGACGATGGGCTGGAATGATTGGACCATTTGGTGGAGCCGCTTGGCGGACTCGGGCCTGGACCCGGCGGATTGGGCCCAGCCCAGATCGAAGCCGTTGGAGAAGAACTTGCCCTGGGATGTGGTGATGAGGACCGAGCCTCTGGTGGCCTGGGATTTGGCTTCGCGGAGGGAGGAGAGGATGGTGGCGAGTAAGGCCGGGTTGAGACGGTGGTCGTCGTCGCTGTCGCCGGTCAGTGTTAGGATGAAGAGATTGCCGCGCTTCTCTAGCGTGCACATTTTGGCGGCGTTCTTTTTGTTGGGAGATCTAGGAGTAATTATGTGCTGATGTGTAAGTGTTGTTACGTGTGGAAGTGCATGAATATTGAGTTACGGTAAGCTAGTGAAAATGGCTTCTTATATATGGAGTGAGATGTTGGGGGATTGGGAGGTAGAAGGATCTGGTTTGAATTACGGGGAAATTGATACCTAATTTGGTTAGAAAAAAACGTGAATGAAAATATTTATCATTTTCTTCCATCTTCTTCCTATCTTCTTGACCTACATTTGGTATGACAAAAATTATACGATTTAATATTCGTTTTCTTCCATTTTCACCCTATCTTCTTTTGCGTTGCTGAAAGAAAGCAGATGGAGACCCACTAACCATACGAATACAATTGGTTGGGTCTGTAATTACTAATTAGTGGTCTCTTGTGCATCTAATCTTTTCTTCTCTATGTTGCAGTATCTAATTTTTATGACAAATACTATTAGAACACTTGAACTTTACAAATCGTGTAATTTCAAGCATAAAATTTTCGAAATGAATATTCTGACATAATGTTTTGTCTCCATTAGTTTTGATCGTTAGTGTTTAATGACCAATACAATTGATTGATGGCATGTCATATAACATGAAGATTCTTTTAGATAGGCACAATTATTTTAATTAATCGTGGAATTTTTTTAAGAAAAAATGAAAAAAATTAATTGGAAAAAATTAAGAAAAACACATTCTCAAACCATACAAACAATACAAACAATACAAACCATACAAACATTACAAACTAGAATGACAAATCATACAAACAAGATGTACAAACCATACAAAACATAGGAACAATACAAACATAACAATCATGGTGGACAAAAACGACAAACTAGACCGACAAACAATACAAAAGAGAGAAACATACAAGTTAACTTTGGAGGCTTCATTCCTATATAGAGGACTTCCGTCCCAAAGTCAACTAGGCTGTTTTTTAGTCATATAATCATTACAAATATAATTAAACAAAAATGACCAAGTTTACAAATATTACAAAGTATACTAACCGTACAGAGCTACTTACAATAAAAATTAGTAAACTTGTATTTACAAATCAGTAAATACAAAGTATACATATTATAACATAAAATATACAAACTAAAAAAACATAACAAATTACAATATATAATAACTAATCATATAAAAATTACAAACATAATATACAAAAATGAAAAACTAGAATGATAAACGTTATAAACCAAATGGTTAAACATTACAAACCAGAATTACAAATATTACAAAATTGACCAATAAAAATCATAAATGGTATGGTGATGCCGTCGAGAAACCCTCCCACGACTTTAGAAATTCTCTCTCTCTGTGTGTGAATCCGCAAAGAAAATTGGCGCAAGGTGCAGGACGCCAGCGAGAAGGAAAGGGACATCGGTTATTTCCTGACCAGCAGATTTCCGCCTGGTAGGGAAGGTGGCGAGAAATTCTTTTAATGATTACCGAATTAAAATTAAAAAAAACATTCAATTACCACATTAACTTTCACTAAATTAAATTAATTTAGACGATTAGATTTAAATGAAGTTGAAAAGTTGAAATTCACTTAGGAACCACTTAGTCACCTTAATCCATCCTAGCCCATGTGCCACTACACTGCTACAGAAAAGCTTAGTTCAAGAAAAATCAGAGACAAATCTCGGTCAGACACTACAAAATAAAACACCTATAGCATGGGTATTTTTTGTATTTAGCAACGAAAAACACCGCTGCTAACCTTTCCGGCTGGGGTTTTTGTAACCGCGGCCAAACCGCCGCAACAACCACCGCCGCAAATTTATGGCAGGGGTTAGCCCAACCGGTGGTGTATGTTCTTGCGAGGTTTTTCTGCAGCGGAGATATATCGTTGCTATTGGTGTTTTCTGTGTCATTGGATAGGAAATTTTGCAGCAGTCGCGGATTGTTCCGTGACGGTTTTTGAACCCCTGCTACATGACACTTCGGCCGAACAGTTAACAACATCCCTAAACCCCCGGGAAACCATATTTAACTACAATTTTTAACGATCGTTTTTACAAGCTGATGGAGAAAGTAAATTTTTTCATAAATTCTAGAATCCCTGCAATCTGCTACAACTTTCAATTTTTTAACACATATTAGCAGTACCTTCCAAGTCTACGTTACTCACAGTAATTTAAAACATAAAAGTTTGAACAAAGATAAAGTTGCAGCCAAATCCTTTCTTCTGAATCACCAACAGCTCAGCTTATCCTGTTACAAAGCCAACCAAAACAAACATATTATTGGTTAGCTACTATGTGAAAGTGGGAAACCACTAATAAACAGATTAGATTATTGATCTTCTTCTTCCTTCCCCACCCCCACCCCTCTCATCTCTCTATCTCTCCCTCCCTCCTTTGTGGGTATGCCTACATCATGCAAGTAGAAAATTGTCAATCAGAAAGCAAACCCATAGCCAGCCCCACAACTCCTTTCAGCTAGGCTTCAAAATGAAACAGAGACCTTATGAAACCAGGGAGAAGCATGTGTGATCAAACAAAAAACTCTCATCAACAAGAAAATGAACTATTGGTCAAGCAAGGATGATTCAAGAGATAATGATACAAGACCAAGCCAACATATAAGTTGTATTTACTTACCTTTCATTAGCCCGTGTAGCACTTTGACTTGATGAAGATGGTGCACAAAATGAATCATCTATTGACCCCTCCCCTGACCTCTTTATTAAACAAACCCTCCCAGGATGCTCTGGCCTATGCAGTTTCTGAAATATCTATTGATTATCAGAAGACCTCTTCTTGTCGAAGACTATGTGCCTTTTCCTATACACAATTATAAGACATATCAGATTGCTCCTTTCTGGGACTATACTTAACCATTACTAAGCATAGCATACCCATAATTGTAAAGATAACTATTGTAAGATTTAAGAAATTACAAACTTAGAAGACTAGCTAGTTTCCTAACCTTGACACCTCAGCTTTCTATCCTAAGGGACATCAAATTCTTAAGCTTTAGTTTCTTAAGAACAAATATATGTACTGTGATTATAAGAACCAAAATAGCATTTATACCTTAATGATTTAGCAACTAACCAATAGCAAGGAAGCTTGCACATCTTGAACACAACATAGCAGAAGAGCAAAATACAAAGCAGAAGTGCATAATTGTGTAAACATGACTAAGATGGTGAATGCAATGGAAGAATAAATGTATTAGTGTAAAGATAATTAAATGAACCTATATTTCTCATACCTTAATGATTTAGCTAGAGAACCACCATCTTCGTACTCAACAGACACATATACATTCCCTGAAAAAGATTCGGACATAGTCAATAAAAAAGTAACATCATGAGATGGAAATGCCTCGAGATAAACTGCATAATATACAATAAGCATTAGGGTGTTTGGTACTACCTCTGCCCTTGACCTTCTTTGCCACCGCGACCTCGGCCTTGTCCATTTGAGACCCCTCTGTCCAAGAAATTCAGGTCAATAACATAAAGAAAGATAGAAACCGAATAAGACTTGGAGGAAAATATGAGTCGTTTGTACCTCCTCCTTCATATTCATAATCTGTTGAGGCTTTCACCTGAACTGAGTGTTGGATTAAGTTGACTTACCTGCTTCAGTTCAGTGAGGTACTTGCTAGCAAGTTTAGTTGCATCTGGCCAATCAGACAGCTCCATATATCTGCATATAGACAAATTCATTCGCTGGCTACTTAAAAACCAATAAAAACACAGAACTTTAGCATGCATATAGCTAGGAAAAGTATCTATCCATGTCAAACGCCGTAGGCTGCAGCTTTCAAGAATGAACTTTAGTTAATTGTGAAAGTAACACAAATGAAGGAGCTTCATATACAAAGCTATCGAGATGAAGTCAAATGCATCCTCTGAACAATCAAGCTCAAGCATAACAAAAGGAATATATCCTATAGATACACCTGCTCTTTCATACCAAAATTTCCCTTCTTATTATACGATTTTCCCAGCTACCAAACAACACATTAGCTAAAACAGAATCAGAACATGAACCAAGTGTACATCTTGACAATTCTTTGTTATAATATCCTGCAAGGGAATATGATTCATACATAAGTAGCCCAGAAACAGGGGGAAATTATCACAAGTAGCAACATTAGACTTTGATGAAACCAAATCCTGCTTATTAAAATGAAACCCAATTAATGAGATCACAGAACCCACTAGACACTCTGCAGTGGTATCTATAAAAGTTCCCAAAAGCTGAATCGCAGTTTAAGTGCTACAATCGATATATTCTTGCATGGGCAACAACAACACAGCTACACACAAAGAACACTGCAACTACTACACATCAATGAATCATCAATTACCATTCTTTGTTAAACAGAGGATAACATCAAAGTTGTTTATATTATTGGGGTTCTACCTTGAAAGGTGGGAAAGCCCCACTATACTCAAGCGACTCTTTGCTATAAGGATGGTGAGGGCTTCTTTCTCTTCCTCATCGTAAGTCCCTGAAGTATTGACAGAGTATGCATGCTTGAATCGAGCTATATCATCAGGAAATATTGCCTGCAATAGTTTCAATTTAGAAACCATATCAGACCCAGCAGGCGCTTCTCTAACTTATACCAGATAAGATAAAAAGCAATAAACATAAACTGAATGAAGGAGACACTTCTCTAACTTAAACTTGAAGGCTATGAGTTACCAAACAGAAACTAAGTACAAAACCCAAAGATTTCACAATAACAAAGGAACACCGAAAACTGAAGCTATGTGATTATGTCTCATTATATCTTACAAGGTAAACAAAACAAAATGATAGGAAAATGAGGGGAAAGGAAAGGAAAATCATGCAAGCGCCATCTATATAACATATGCTTAATTCTGAATAAACGAATAGAGAAACCGACACCTACCATTACAGCAGGGAAGGTCTGAATTGCAGTCGATATAATGCAGAATTCTAATCATACCTAGGTAATTATAACTGCTACGAATTCA